GAGCACACAAAGCTGAACACATTCCCAGGCATCTGAATTATACAGGTTTATTGGCATCTCAAAGCAATCCAAGACCAGGGATTCACATAGTCCTCCAGTCACTCCAAGCACTAAAGCAGTAACAGCTCACCAGAACCCTGCAAGAAAAAATTGTTAGGTCATGGCAAGAGAAAACAAGTAACAGTGCCACACAAAATGGAACAAAAGTAGAGAAGTTCATAATATTCTCACCCTCCACGTCTCCTTCAGCAGCAGTGGGGTAACCTTCAACGTCACCAACATCCCCTTCCAGGGCAGAGGGATCACCTTCAGCAGGAGTGGGGTCACCCTCCACGTCACCAATATCCCCTTCCAGTGCAGTGGGTTCCCCCTCAACGTCAACTTCAGCAGCAGTGGGGTCACCTTCAGCAGCAGTGGGGTCACCCTTCACGTCACCTATATCCCCTTCCAGGGAAGAGGGGTCTCCCTCCAGGTCACCTTCAGCAGCAGTGGGGTCACCCTCCATGTCACCAATATCCCCTTCCAGTGCAGTGGGGTCCCCCTCCACGTCACCTTATATGGATATTCTTGGCCCGCGATCCACTAATGAAACTGCTGCCATCAGTCCCAGCAGAAGCACATGCAGCAGAAACCAGCGCGTTTTTTTCTGTAATATCATTTTGTCCCACAAAGCTCGTGAAGGCAAGTGCGCTCCTCCGGTATTTATTGAACACCCAAGCTGTCGGCATTAAATGTGGAAGAGCCCGGTGTTTTCGCAAACATTCTCACGCGAGTAGAGGGAGTCAAATTGAAGACACTTTATTTCAGGTAATCGCAAATTACAAAGTGGGCTTCTGATTTGTCGTCTTTTCTCCAACCTGAATGAAAACAGATGATAATGTAATTAAGGCGAGTATTTCGATGACGGAATTGGGAAGCTCTTTGTAGTCAAGCTATTAATATGTCATATCTTCTTACTGTTTGTTTTACTCACTTGTTTTGCTGTAGGTCTAATTCTGCTTGCATCATTTTCAGTTGTGTTGTTTGTCTCATTGTACACAGCTCAGAGTTTCTTTTTAAATACAATACTTTACTATATGTAATCAAGTATTTCGCCATTGAATGTGAGAAATTGATACATATTTCTAATTTATTATTTAATTTTTTCCATGTCAGTCTGTCTGTCCGCCTGCCTGCACCCCTGACTGTTAAGAGGGCTATCCAAAAAACCAGTGTGTTCCTCCATTTTTTGAAGGAGTTTGGTATTCGGTTCTACCCCGAAGCTGAGACTTCCTGATTCTGATCGTTGGGTTGAGGAGGGCTATGCCTCGAAGGGCTGGCACTTTGCTATGCCAGCCTTTTTCCCTCTGGGATACAGACAGCTGATTTCTCTTCAGACTGTCGTGTCTTTGGTCCTCTTTTTCATTACTAACCAGCCTGTGCTATTGCCTCGCTGGCCAGGAATCTATTAATTTATTATTCTGTTATCACTCCTCTTTCACTTCACTTTCCCTCCATCCCGGAGCACTCAAGCCCCAACCCATCACGCCTCTTTGGGCTTTTCCGCCACTCTTCATATCCTTGGTCTTGGGTTCTGACCAATCACCACCCAAGGGGTTGTATCTAGCCATGTTGTAACAATAAGTGACTAAATCAAAAGCCAAAAACATTTCCCACTTCCCATGTGGTTCAACAAATTAAGAAAAATATAAGGTAAAGGAAGGTGGCATGGTGGCACAGTGTTTAGCTTTGCTGCCTCACTGTGTGGGGGCCATGAGTTCAATTCCTGGGGTGCTACCTGTGTGGAATTTGTATGTTCTCCACATGTTCTCATGGTTTTCCTCGGGGTGTTCTGGTTTCCTCCAACAGTTCAAATAGATGCTGGTAGGTTAATTTGGCCCTGTTGCCTGTGTCTGTGTGCCCTGCGATGGACTGGGGTCTCGTCTAGGGTGTATGCCTGTTGCTTGCCAGGATATGCCCTTGTTCACCTTGTATTGGATAAAGCAGTCAGGAAATGGATGGATGGAAAATTTTTTAATTTAATAATGAAATTTTCACATGAGATTGATTAGTGGGATTAGAGTGTGCATAAGATTGCAATTTTATAGTAGGTGTGGGCGATGCAGTTGTTAGGAACAGTCTGTGGTCTTAGTGAAGTAGTGAGAATGGTGGAAGGAAAGAAGCTCGGATCAGTGCTAATTGCTCTGGGCAGTGAAAGTTTAGTTTGGGCAATTGATTTAGTTGTTGAGGGTGGTGAAAGCCACCTTGTGATGCTGTTTATTAGTTTGTAGAAATCATATTATCATATTAGATAATTGGTCTAACTGTTCTAAATATAAAGCCAGAAAATCTCCAGGACAATAAATTCTGTTTGCAATGGATCATGTACGAATGCTTCCTGAGCCATGCGGCCAAACTCGGGAATCTTCACGAGTTGTACAGAAATATACGGCTCTTGAACAATCTACTACTGTTTAAGTATAATATTGGAACATCCCCGTTACGATCGTGTCATAATTCGTGCTGTATTTCAGGGTTTAACTTGTACAATTATACAATATAGTTTTGAAAAAATACTTTTTAAGGTTATCGAACAACTACACCTTCGCCTAGCACATTGCAGTCCTGGTAATAGTTTCTACTATCTAGAGGCAGATTTGACCTCACTATCATGGCGCCCGAAAGGTGCAGCGGACGACAGGGATGGGCGTGGTTGCTAAGGGTGAGGAAGTTGTTTATGAGACCGTAATAAGCAAGCTGGGAACTGTGTTTTGTTTGAAATCATTTCGGTTTTATTTTTTGTCGGTGTAGTGTATCGTCGCATCTACATGGCATTAATTTCAAAAGAGACCTGTTCTCCACAGCAGATGAAGGAGCTGTTACTTCAATCAATGGATCGAGACGCGAACGTAAGCTCTGAGGGAAGAGGGGTGCAGTCCCTCCAGACGATACTTGTGGGGCGACACCAGTGCGTGGAGCCGGACACTAACTCGCACCTTGCTACTAGCGATGTGGTATTGAGTGGAAGCGCTGTTTTGTCGTGTTGGAACTTTCAAAAGAAAACTTACATATTCTAAATGTTTAATGGAAAAAAGCACCCAGAAACAAATCATTTTTATAACCATTCTAAAGAATATAAAAAAACATAATTTGGAAAGAAGTGATAATACTTCTCTTCGATTTCTGAGTTAGCCAAATTTTCGTTTTTTTATCAGTACTTTACAGATTGTTCGGTAAAACTACACCTAATTATGAATTACTTGAATTATTTATTGTTTCAATTAATGACTTCTGCCTTACTCGAGAAAGACGAAATGCCCGTATCAGAGCATTAACGTAATTCATTGTAGTTAATGCTTTGCTGCTGCCACCTTTCTGTGCAAGAAGCAGTACGCGCTAGACTTTTCCTTGAAAGGGCCTATCTGTCAGAGTTTTCTTAAGGGTCGCTGTTGTTTTAAAATTAAAAAAATAATGTATCACATTGCATCCTGTTTCAAGGCAGTGCTTTGCTATAAAATTCAACGATAGGCAACTAACATCTGCTTGCGCACACCGTAACATTAAAGCCACACAGGCGCTGTCACTGTGTTCTTGAGAGACCACATGGATCCTGGTGAAATAAAGTGTGGGGACCTTTTGATGTCTTTTAGACATCGTGCTCACAGGAGCTTATTTGAATCCAGACACCAAAGGAAGATGTGCTGTATAGCTGTAGACACTGTCACAATATTTATGAGTGACCAAGGATATATGTGACCATGAGATGGCATATCAAGTTTTGTTTGTGTTGCTCATGGACACCAAGAAGGAAAGCCTATTGGGCTATTGTGTCTTTGGCATGAGGCTTTGTGAAAACCTGTGCGAAGAGCAGAGACCATCCAGTATTCTTGCACACAGACAGCTGTGACCGGAAATGAACCCAAGACCTTTGAGCTGCTGGGGCAGCGATGCTAACTTCAGTGCCTATAACATTAATTCGTTCTGAATCTGTGCTGTATTCTTCAGGATCCTGTAGTTTCCATCATTACCATCTCCATTTTTCTAATTGAGGTTAACCTTGAACTGGCTACATCTTACCACAACCATTTAACTGTCTCGTAGTGATCCCAAGGATGAGCTCTAGTTTTGCCTTCTCATAAGCCAACTGATATTTAAATGTAATAATTTCCTATTTAAACTTTGTTTTAATCATTTTAGTTAATTGTGTATTTTAAATTCAGTGCGCTTAGATGTTTTCATTTTTGCATTTGAATGTTTAATTGTTTCGCATTGAAGGCTAGTGAACCATTAAGAAAATCAGTCAGATATCATTATGGACTGAAGCTGAGTTCAAGTAATTAAAAGTTTAAATTAAGGAAAAATGTTTTAAACACGTGTATGTAGACTTCCATTTTTGGAGAGGATTCCAAAAAACACACAAAAACAGTACTTAAGAAGTGCTCTTGGGAAAATATCAAATTACATGTAAAGTGTAAACTTTCTGTATGGGAGGGTCCTTGGATCTTGAGCAGTTGTATTTGGTTAGGGGGGGCAATCCTGGTCCTATAGAAGTGGAGTGTCTTCACATTTCCTAGGTCTCTATAAACAGCACCTGAAGCGTGGGGAGAAGGTATTAAACTGGTTCAGTTAAACCAGTAATGAACTGATCTAACTAGACTGAAAATCTGCAGACACACTGGTCCTCCAGAACCAGGACTGGGGATCCCTGCTTTAGGTAGTGCAATCCTCTAGTCTTGTTCTGAAATGTTGTAGTGACTCGCTGTCTACTTGTACTTTTGTAATAACTGGGTTGTTTTTCTGTATTCCAGGTGGTGAACATGGAAAAGGTGTTAGAAGTCCTGTCAATGCTGGAGAACTACCCCATCACAAGGGAGGCACTGGAGGTGTGTGAGATGATTTCTCTGTCTTTGCATAGAACACATCTTTTGGCCATTGGCTCTGACAACTCCTGACAGCTCATAATGTTATTTTATAATGCTATCTGACAGCTCCTGTCTCTTCTGAGTCTATTCCGTCTTAACTCTGAGCCTATTTTGCTGAATGGGAAATTGTATAGGATTAACAATTACTGTTAACCCTGAACCTAATTCTGGGTTCTGCATCTCCCCTCGTTAGCATACGTATGTGGAATGAAAGTGATCAGAACACCACAGAATAGTGTCATTCCCACTTGACATCACTGATTGGTCAGTTGTTTAAACTGACATTGAGACATTTCATATGTTTAATAATTCAGGCAAAAGTGGAGTTGTCTTTGCTGAATGTGCTTGCAAAGAAAAACTCAGAAGAGTATTGAGTGTACAGGAGCGGACAGGGCTCTGGATGATGCTGTTGTGCACCTGACTATGTTACTGCATTCAAAAAAGTCCAGTTAATACTCTGCTGTACGAATGGTGCTTTCCAGGTAATTATTATAAATGAGAATCTCTTGTAAACTGGCTTACCTGGTTAAATAAAAGTTTTCTTCTGTCATCCTGGTATGTAAGGCCATATGGAAACAAATTTAGCCACAGATGTAAAATGTGATGTAAAGATGTAGTAACATTGCTTGTACATAGTGTCTGTTTTCAACCGCTATTTGAAATGTTCAGCAGAATGAAACCCATCACATATTTGTTAGATCCTACAATCCAGTGCTTCTTACTCCTGGTCCTTGAGCATCTCTGTGTCAGCTGGGTTTTGTCCATCTGGGCCTTAATCACCACTGCTGTTTTGCACCAGGAACTGATCTGACTTTTTTTGTACCCAGTCATTGGTTTAGAAAATGAAATACTCTGTTTCCAACACCTTCAGTACAAGAACTTAATGCAGTCTGAGAAGTTCCAGAGGTTTCCCAGGACCACATTTGGAGAACCACGTACTGGGGTATTTTGGGGAAAAAAAAACAAAACAATCAAGCAGCTAGTTCACCTGGACCATAAGCCAGCTGTCATAAACCCTCAGGACCAGGACTGAGTGCGACTGCTGCAATGTTTTCAAATTGGTTCCAGACAAATTATGTTCAGCTTTGAATTCTGTTTAGTTTTAATTTGCTGTGTTCTGGTCATCCAGCTGGAGACATTTATGACTGATGCTCTCTGCACAAGGTTTAACTTTACTTTTTTAACAGGAAACTCGTTTAGGAAAATACGTCAACAGCTTGCGTAAGAAAACCCTGAAGAAAGAGCTATCAAAAAGAGCAAAGAAACTGGTGAAGAGCTGGCAGAAGATAGCACTGATTGAGGAATCTACCCCGGCCAGCGTTTGTGCAGACAGGAAAAACTCTCCTGTGCAGCAGATGACACCAGGCATCTCAGGAACTCCTGCTGAACAGCACCGATTCAGTTCTGTTGTGGATCCTGACAAATGCAACATCCCACCTTCATTTACAGAGATGCACATCCTGCACCATACTGCCTGGGTGCGGGTGGATGAGGCAGCTGTGGACAGCCCCGAAGTTATCCCCAGCCCAACATCTGAGCCAATGGGGCAGTCTGGTCACAGACATTTTGTCAGACAAGAAACTGGAGGTTTTCTAGAAAAGGGAACCCTGGAATGGCCCCAAAGCCCAAGTTCAGATAACTCCAGTCTTCAGCAAAGGAAACTTAAATCTTGGGCTCGAGTAATTCAGGAACCAGGGAGCTTGGAGACTTTTTCTCCAGCCAGCTGCAGCACCCCCCCACATAGTCCAGTCACAGCCACCTCCGATTACTCTCTTGTGCACAGGTATGCCCACTCAAGCTCCTTCCTAACAATACCGCCTTCTCAGCACCCACAAAGGACCTCACACTTCACACAGCAGCACAGTGCCATCGTCCACAAGGCAGCATCATCATCACCAGTAGATATTCTTAGCACTTCAACCCATCCTGTAGCTGAGGGTAAGTCACAAGCTCTTTCTCCTCCTAGCTCTGTAGGAGAAGAACAGGTTGAGACCAAACCAAAATCCAAAAGGGGCAGGAGGAAGGGTGGGTTTAAAGATGTAAGTGTGTGCCTTGATGGCCTGCCGCCTGAGCCAGGACCTGTTAAGATTAAGGAAAGAAGAATAACATATGACCCACTGAGAAGAAAAATCGTGGTAGTGACGCCAAAGACATCAGCTCCCTCAAAAGCTGAACACGAGTCTCCTCTGCCAAAGGACACAGGCAGCATCTCTGAGCTTAGGGAGAGGAACCTGCAAATTTGGGACAGCATGGACAAATCAGATTGGAAAGAGTTTGCCAAAAATAAAATAATTCAGAAGTACTTTAGTAGCCAATGCAAAAGGCTTACTGTTTCAGGACTAGAGCCTAAGGAGTATATTGACCACCTACAGGAATTACTGTCACAGGATTCCATAGCTTCAGAAGGCTGGCAGCCTTGTGTGATTGTGCCAACAGAGCCTGCATCCCATCTGCCAGGGGTCAGCCAAGAGGTATCCATTGAAGACCTGTTTCAAATCCACAGTCAGCACTGGTCAGGGGTTAATGGCTGTTATGATAGCAAAAGTAACTGGTATGACTGGGCTCAATGTATTTCATTAGAACCTTACAGCAATAAAGAACAGTTAGGCATTTTGCCTTATGTTTGTCTAGACTGAATTGGAGTGTTTCATTCTGCCACTCGGAAACATTTTTGAAAACATTTTCTGAGTCTGAAAACATTTAACTTGCAAAGCACAACTGGTCCAAAGACTAAATGAGCCAGAGGTGATATACTCTGGACTTCTGTGTGCTTGGTTCAACCATTCAACATTGTCAAGTTTAAGAAACTAGGAAAACAGGTGATTGACATTTATGGCTTAATAATTTACAACTTTTATAATTGTAATATAAATAAAGATTTTATTTAAGATATGCTTGTGCATGTGGGTACATTCCTTACAATCTATACATTACTATGTACAGCATGATTTCTCCAAGTCAGATACAGGCCAGGTGGGCTGCCTGCCCAAATACTGTAAATGTCAACTGAATGCACATGACAATCCATGGTGAAATACTGTTTCTTAGTATATACTGCAAGGCCATTTTCCAGCCTGCAGCTGTGATGGTACATAATTGCATATCTCATGCATTTGCATCAAGTCTATGTTTATTAAAAAAATAATTAATTAACATAAAATTCTGAAATTGCTGGAGACTTGTGATTCCATTGATTAACCAATGTGTTGTATGTGAATAAAAGAAACCAGCAATACAAGTAAGCAATCTCAATTTTTTTTTTTTTACAGGGAAATGTTACACATTAGGGTTTTGGATTCCTCAATGGGTTTGTTAGTAACCAATGTAAAAAAAGTAGGGTTTCCTTGCAGCTAAATTATCAGGTCACAGACAAATACTGTATCCATTTGTCACTGGTAGATTAGAAACATTTATAAAGAACAATAAAGGGAGTGTAAGCCACTTAATTTTCTAAGTGGAAAAAAAGACTTGTAGCCTCAATGAATGTAAAATAATAAACAGCACCACACTCAAAAACACAGCTATGCTCCATAGAGAAAATAGCAAACAGCAACACAAAACTCTTCCTTGTTTTTTTGCCACAATTTCTTATTCAGCATAATGTTGTTTAGATACCATAGGATAGTTTATTCACAACCTAGTGCAATAATCTAGCTGTTGGAGGGGGGGTAACTTCGTCATTTGCAAGAGGTTACCACCTCAACTAAGCTTCTTCCTGTGGGGAAATCCTGTACAGAGTAAAAAAAAAAGTACAAATTCAATTCCTTTCAAAGAAAGGAATTTGGTACATAACTCTGCTTAAATGTATACCAGTAAATATAGACCTGGTAAAAGAGACAAAAGGTCAGAAACATTTCAAGATGTCATTTCTTGTAATACAATTCTTAAGATTTAGTAAATCCAGTTTTTAAAACTGCTGCCAATATAAAGTTTTCCTGTTTCAAAAGGAAAGGACCTGCAGACCCATTTCTGGGACATATCCACCCACCACACAGTGCTAGAAGGGTGCTCCACCAAGTCAATACCAGTAGTTAAAGCAACAGTCAACTACTGAGCCAATTAAATAAACCCTACAAATGTGTTTTTAAAGTCAGCATTTTCAACAATAGCAAAAATAAAAAAAACTGAATTAAGCAGCAAACAACTACATATTGTACAACTTGAACCGGTCACATGTGGAAAATAGAGCTTCTGTGTTCTGATAAGCATCTTTAGTGGGTAAATCATGTTCACACTATTTAAACCTCTTTCCACTCAATGTTTTATTTTACATTTATTGTCCTGAAGATTTTAAACTTCAGTTAAAAAGGCCCTATACACCAAAATATATTTTAGTACATAGCTGGAGTTTATTTTGGTTTAATTGACAAAGACAGCTTTGGATACAATTTAAAATGAAAAGCAAAGACATTTCTAATATTTGTTTTTAATTTGGGTAAATAGCTGCTTGCACACAGGAAAAATCACTGGTATCAAACTATCATGTCTGCTCCATATATTGTGCAACTTGTGTCTGTAAATAACTTTAAACTTGGTCTGGCACTAAGTTACACTAGAACAGATAGTTAAATGAATCAAACAAATTGTAGATAAATCAAACAAGTCTTTATTAAAAAAAGTACAAAAACAAATTATATACAATTTGTAACAAAAAGCATCGCAGGTGACTTTAAATTCATTCCTGAAATATTAAATAATTATATATAGAAAATAACACTGATTTTGGTCACAGCACCTTGATTGAGAGGAAAGACTGGAACAGGGGTAGGAAAAGACTGGAATTATTGCACCATCCATCTCTGAGTGCTTTCAACCAACCTAACATTATGTACTATCTCAAGGCCAGCTATCTTCTTAAAGGTACCATAACAATGCATATGCAAGCATCTATTGCATTATGAAAACAATGTTCCACCGGAGGAATATTGCAGTAATCTGTAAAATTAACAGTTCCTTAAAACAAGATAGCTATGTCTGTGTGATCTGTAAGAACAATACTCCAGAGCTACATATTCTACTGCTGGACGTAAAATCTAATCCTGTTAAGATGTCCACCTACTGGAGTGTGTCAAATGATGCATCCATCTTTTTTCCAACTACATTCCTGCATCAGAACAGTTAGCATCAACAATTACTTTGAAAGCTAAAAGGAGGTAGTTTTCAGAAAGTACAGAGCAGAGATTGCTACTCTTTGTCTTGGCAATGCCTGTTACCCCTACATTTTGTTCCAGCTGAGATCTCAAGTGCTCAAATTAATCCTTATTTGAAACAATTTGCTAATTTGCCTTTATGCCCCACTCAAACTACAAGCTATAAAAGGTCAGGTAAAATAAAGTTGTAGTTTTAAGAACAATGACACGAGTTCAAGCAAATCATCAATTTAGCATTCAATGTATTACAGCTCAGCTAGAATGAACTCCAGTGGTGGAATATCCAAGGACAGTGGTGTTTCATTCGTCTTTTGTTCTACAAAAGGCAGCAGGTAGGATGGAACAGCATACAGGGAGTCTGGCTCACACTGCTCCAGAGGACAGAATAAACACGCAAGACTCACAAACACCCAAATAAACAAGACCCTGAACGCCAACACACACAATAGAATTTTGAAGACATTTGAATTTGAACAGGCATTATAAAACTTGTGAAAGCTCACATGATATATTCCACTTCCTGAAATTTAAGAGCATAGATTCACACAAAACTTTTGCATAAGTTAGAAACGGATATCTTAAGTGAACTCAGCAGATATACCATTTGCAAATAGATTAAATGGCACATTTATAAACAGTGAAGGTCAAACATCTATTGTACAGAGATGCTGCAACGACATGAATTTCCTAAGGAGCACATAAAATGTTTACATTAATTAACTGGCAATTTAATGGGAACACCAAAGTCCTGTTTTTTAAATCCAGGATATCAAGTTGAAATTAAAATCATGAGCACTTACAACCTGGACATACAGGCTGATAATTTTATGTGTTGGTACTTGCATCAAAAGGTATTATCACATTTTTGTTGATACATTGACTGAGGTACTTCGTTTTAAAAAAATATTAAAGTACTGTAAGGCCACACCAGAAAGCTGAAGCAAGAATGAACAAATCTGCTCAAACATGAAACTCAAAACCCTTCTAGTCTCAAACTGTCAAAAAGAACTGATGGAGATGACACTTTCTTTTTCTAGGATATGTAAGCTACATCCCAATGAAAACAGTAATCCAATTTCATTGTGCAAAAAGTCTCAGAAATGAGGACCATGAGTTGTACAGAATACTATGTGAAGACAACTGTAAACACCATTTGCATTAGTTGTAAACAGCTGCATATTTTAATTTTTATAGATCAAAGTTAATTTTTTCTAACCGATTTGTCTTTCAGAAGAGTTTGGGGAGCTGCCGTAATCTGTTCATATCCAAGAAGTTCCCCACAGATTCCTGTGTGTTGTGTCCAATAAGTTCAGTTGAAGTTGGTTGCAGTTTCTCAGGGAAGAGCTGAACACCATTCTCCTCAGAGTTCCTGGAGCACTGGGTAACCAAGAGGTTCATTTTAGGTCGGAGGTCCCTTAGCAACTGGCTCTGAGAGTCGTGGTTTGGAGGCTTGGGGGACGAAGCATCATTGGTAATGTCCTTCAAAGCAGGTCCCCCTTTTCCTCCCCATCCACAGTATGATCCTGAGGTACTGATCTGGTGCTGTGTGTCAGTCCTGCTCTCCAGATTCTCACTTCTGAAGCCCAGCTGTCCTGTCATAGGCTGAGTCTTCAGCAGGACAGACTTCCCATCCTCCTCCTCTTCACTACTGTCATCTGCCTCAATCAGTCCATACCTCTTCATATACTTCCTCGTGGCAAAGGACATATTGCTGGGTGACATCACACTTAGCCCCAACATGCTCCTCTCCATGGGGCCAGGCGGAAGAAGTGCACTGGTTGTGACGGGATCCCTGGAAGTTGCCTTCCGCCTCTCTGAGAGCTGGGACAGCTGGGAGTCACTTAGGTATTTCAGAGCAATGGCATTGGCCTCCAGGCTCAAGTCTGCACCACTGGAACCAAAGTCACTAGCTCCCACATTTCCCAAGGACATGTAGCTGAGTCTGGGGATGACTGCCCCAGCGTTAATACAGGCTAATGTGCTGAGAAATCAAGAGAAGGACAAGTCAAAGGATCTGGATTTTGCTACAATAAATGCCAGTGCTAAACACAATAAGTATTAAGACATGGAGACCTTTTCCTGACTCGTGCGTTTAGTAAACACTCTTAACCTCAAGGAATGGTTAGATCAAAACTACTAAACAGGTCACAGACCTCCACAATCCTCTATAGCCAATAATCAAATAAACAAGCTGATGCTGATAAAGAGCTACTATTTTTGTTGACACTCATCATAAACAAAACATCTTCATACTCTTACACTTATTATGTGCATTTACACAGACTGGTGTTCATGCAGAGCACTGAAATACATCCCTCTTACAGTCAAAAGGTCTGCTGGGACATACTTGAAAGTAAACAGTTTTGTTAATCTATTTTTCTGCTTCCATTTCCTGACTGGGTCTGAAGCACAAAAACAACAATTCTTTACATAAGACATATAAAATATGGCACAGAGTTCAATACAAATTGAATACAAAATGAATAAAGAATACAAATGCAAATTGACTTATGTGCTGAAAGACTAAGGAAGAGCAGCATGCAGCAGCTGTGAAAGCCAAGTGACATGACATATTAGAGAGAATGCAGATCAAAGAAGATTACCTGGCTCTCTCCACGTTGGTCTTGGTCACCTTGCCTCGGACAGAGTCCAGATCTACCGTCACCCCAAACTGCTGAAGCTGTCTGAGAGTTGCACTAAGGATGTGATCCTGGTCAGAAGCCTGCCTGGTCCCAGAAGTGTTCTTCTTGCTGTTTTTCTGAGGTAGAGGAGAGCACTGTGGGGGATGTCTCTCTGGGGAAATTCCCGGTGTCTGCTGGAGGTTCCCCCATTTATCCTGCTCCTCCTCTTCCTCACAGATGGAGGTCTGAAGGCGGCTGTTCACCTGGCCCTTGGTAAAGAACAGGAGGACATTACCAGGAGGAATGACACTGCCCATTGCTTACATTTTTAGCATCTCAAGGCTGATATACTGTAACTTGTAGTTTATCTTATACAGATCATACATCAAGGGAAAGCAGATCAGCAGACCTGAGAAAGAAAACTTTTTTTACTGGATGAAAATGCCTACACTAAAAAGGTTCAGTTCTTTTAGCCTGTAAGTCTTCTACAGAGAGGATTACAAGAGGACTTGATACAAGTATTCAAAACCCTCAAAGGCAGCAACAACAAAGTAAACCCAGCAAATCTCTTTCAAATCTGAGGCACAAGTGTGAACTACATGGAAATGCATTTAAAACCAAGAACAAGTGGCACTTTTTTATCCAAAGGGCTGTGGGAGAATGGAATAAACAAGTCTCCCATGTTATTAAATACCCCTTTTCAAGAAACAGCTGGATGAGATCCCTGAAACAACCAAGCAGGTTAGATGGACTGAACAGCCTCTACCATATTTTCTTAAACATTTATGGCATGCCTAAAACATGAAGTGTCTGATTTCCTGAAGCCTGTCTACTTCTGTGATATATAGTCACTTTTGTGGACACTTATTTAATATCTAGTTGACCTCACATAATACACGTCTGAATAGCAGGAGTAGAGATTTACAGATCTGCAGTGGACAGGCACCAAAATGCTTTAACATTTATGGAGTCTCTTTTGCATCACAATTTACAATAATTATAAAAGAACAAGTAATAGGTTTATTCCATGCTGAAAAAAAGAAGAAAGAGAACACAACGTTTCAACCGTGGAGCCTTCTTCACAATAATTATAAAAGGCTACTCCTACACAAAATCATTTCTGTATCAATATTTCTTTAGAACCTTAAAAGTAGCAAAAACAAATCTAGCAAATAAGGTTTGGATGAAACCAGATAATCAATTACTGCTGCTGTGAAGGTCTATATGATGTACACAAAACATTTGTAATTCAGACATACTTTTGTATGTTTTTCAATATGTAGTTAAATACAAAAACTACATACTACAAACACAGTCCTCTCATGGACTTTTTAGGGCCTCAGGACAATTTTCATCAGCACAACTATTGCAACATTCAAGCTTTTCTTGCTAGATGTAAAAAAAGGGTTTACCAGCAAGTCTTTATAAAACTTCTGTTCATCCTGCAGCTGGCAGTTGTCTTCAGGAGGACTTTCCTGAAGGAGTTTGCTGGCCCCCTCTGCTGGCTGAGACTGGAAACTCACGCTGGCACACTCAGTCAGCACTGAGTTTTGAAATAATGCCAGGGGTCCAACACCACATGGAGAGCTGCACAACAGTGTGAAGCACAACCTTTGAAAATCTCTCAACCCTAGTGCGTGTTTAACTCACCTCAGTCTTGGGCCACTTTGAATCACTTTTTTAAAGGGGATCTGTAGTCCCAGCTTTTCAGACCAGTTATTAAATCTCAGTAACAAAAGAAATTCAATAATAGGATAACAACTTTTTACAAATTTAAAATTAAGCAACAAAACTGTGAACTTTTTGAAAGTACTGTAAGTCGCCATGTTGTCACAAATCCCTGGCTGGAGAGTTTGTGCGGATTGGAATGTGATGTGGCCCTTTCCTGCTCACTATAATGTCTAATGTAATGCAATGTACAAGCTATTAAGTACAGGTTACATAGCAGACATTTCACTTCAGAAATTTTTCAACTTGACATGCATGCAAAGTTAACAAGTAGCATTTGTCAGCAAAACTGTCTCAAAGTCAAGACCAATATTAGATCAAAAGAGATGTGTTCACAAGCCTGCTTGTTTACGATGTAATAAGACTGCTTCACGTCGACAGAAGTTTGGTCTGAATCGCACAATATGGCACTGCACATACCGGCGTATAACTTTAGTCTATTTTTTAATGTAAGTTGGAGGTTTAACAAGTTAATGTGTGCACTTTACTTTTATTGTGCTTTGAAATGCACTCATAAATGCTGATAATTTCTAACCCGAAATATAAAAAGTGTTGCAGTTTCCCTTTAAACAGTGTCATGACTAATCTTAATTACAGAATCACTGGAAAGGTTTGAATGCATTCATTTTAGACTAAGACCTGACTGAAAATTTGTTTTCAATCTGGAGATATATGAGAGACACACTGATCCCTCAATGGGTACTGCAAGCTTCTGAAAACCATACAGAATTTCCAGAAGCTTGAAATCTACAGAACAAGAGACCCACCCCTGTATTTTCGACTCCAGAGCCTCCTCCTGCACTGCAGTCTCTGAAAAGCTGGGGTTGTTCACAGCGTTAGGTGGAAAGGCTTCACTGCCCCTTTCCCCGGACACTGAGAGGGCTGCTTTGTCAGGGGCCTGCCACTCGGACTGCTGCTCCTCCTGTTGCTCTGCAGTCGGGCTCCAGAACAAACTGGCACCTGAAATGGCAAGGCAGGGCTTCTGGAATACTGCATGAACGCACCAGGCTGACGAAGCTCAGGTCACAGATCACATTTAACTCCCTTCACAAAAAAAAACTAGCAGCTGTTGTTTAATGTAGAACAGGGGGTTAGTAAAAAACTATATATATATAAAATGTAAAACAAAATACGAGGGAGTTAAAACCAACTAACAGGAGACCCAGGTCACTGGAGGCAATTACCATCTCACCACTACAGGCAATTCAGGGATATTTTAGGGCTGTCATGATCGGTCGAATGGAAAAGAATGGAATCGTCTTGAATGGAAAAGATTACAAGGGGACCCAACACCCTCACCCAACACTCAAAAATCCTCAAAGACAAAGAAAGTCAGAATGAACAGTGAAGTTCAAGTGGAAACTACGTGGAGAGGCATTTAAAACCAAGAACAGGAGTGATTCTTTATATAGAGTTGCGGGAGAAAGACACAAGCCATGTGGTTGATGTTGATATCCTGGTTTCTTTCAAAAAAGACAGCTAGAAAAGATGTATTAACTACTAACTACTAAATGGGCTAGATGGACAGGATGGCTGTCTTTTGTTTGTGACCAACCTTATTATCTCCTATTCACTTCTGCAATATTATTGCTTTTTACATAGCTAAAAATGGTCAACTGAGAAGAATGAATGAATGGGGTACCTTTATGTAATTACACTGGATTCAAATAGTGTTAACAATAACCATCTTTACCAAAACAGTAAACAAAAACCTTTTCTGGAAACAGCTCCATTTAGCAGCTATTAATTTCTGTCTGCATCTAAACTGCTCCGAAGACTTCAGGTCAGGGACTATCTGGTACCTGTGCTCACAGCGATGCTGACACTCTTTCTCATCTGCACCCCAGGGGCTGTTTGGGTTTCAGTGGCCAAAAACTGCAGCTGCGTCTCTGCCTGCTCCGGAGGTGTGCGCCTGCAGGGCACAGTGGAAGAGCCAGATGGACTGTTCTGAGCCTCTAGCAGCCTCTGAATCTGAGATGAAGAGAAAATACACTGAATACAAAGGCCAACTGCCACTGTTGGATAACAGAATAAAGAATGTCTTTACAATCTTTGTAATTAAATAGACAAGAAAGAAATGTGAAAGTTTCAGCCATTTATGATAGAAAACTATCATGCCTATCCCACCTTCACTTGATAAAAGTTACAAATAATACAGAAGGGTACAACAGACAAATATGTTCCAGCTCAACATATTCAATGCCTACAGAAATCAATATAATATTTGTTACCTTGTGCAATGAATAAGTCACCCTAGGTTACTAACAGCATTCTATGCTGCACAAATAAACCTCTGGGGGCTGTTTCACAAAGAGAGATTACTCAGTTAACTGGATAACTTTTGAAGACAGTTCAACAATGTGGGAGTGGGAGGAGCCACAGCGACACCGGTGTGATGTTAGCAAACAGAAAAAAAAAGGAAAATAGACAACTTGCACAGCAGTGTCTGGCATGGACTGTCACTATTTAGCAGGGTACAGCCAGGGAAAAGAAAAGGCACCATTTGGAACAGCAGCACCCAGGCTTGACTATCCCTATTTATTGGGGTCCAGCCTGGGGAAAAAGAAAGACAGCTTGGGACAGCAGCATCCAGACTGAACCCTGTTAGGGAAAGTCCAATCTGGAAGACAAGGAACGCGTGACCAAAACAAAAAAACTCAACCTGCCCCGATGGAGATACACAGCAGGACAAGGGAAAAGAAAAAAATAAAATCAAGGAAAAATGCGCCCTAAATGTTCGCGTCATAACAATTGAGTGATGTTAGTTCATCCATTTTCTAACCACTTTATACGGGATCACAGGGGAGCCAAAGCCTATCCTGGCAAGCAATGGGCACAAGGCAGGGTACACCCTGGTTGGTAAGCCACTCCATTGTAGGGCACATAGACACACACTCATACCAGGGCTATTTTCCCAGAAGCCAATTAACCTACAAGTATATCTCTGAACTGTGAGAGAAAACCAGAGCACCCAGAGGAAACCCACATGAACATGAGGAGAATATATGAACTGCAGATAACACCACAGGTCTGTGAGGCAGCAATGCAAACCACTGTGATGTTGCTAGTCTTAAACCTTTATTTAAAGTGTGTAAATTTAAGATTAAACTAATTAATAACAACAACAACAACAACAATAGCTTACACTTATATAGCGCGTTTCTGGACACTCCACTCAAAGCGCTTTACAGGTTATGGGGACTCCCCTCCACCACCACCAATGTGCAGCATCCACCTGGATGATGGCCAGAACGCTCACCACACATCAGCTATCAGTGGGGAGGAGAGCAGAGTAATGAAGCCAATTCATAGATGGGGATTATTAGGAGGCCATGATTGGTAAGGACCAATGGGAAATTTGGCCAGCACACCGGGGTAACACCGCTACTCTTGTCGAGAAACACCCTGGGATTTTTAATGACCACAGAGAATCAGGACCTCGGTTTTACGTCTCATCCGAAGGACGGTGCCTGTTTACAGTATTTATTAAGACTTCCTATAACAACAAGGTTATAAATGTTATAGATGTTGGCATAAACTTTATACCCATAGCAGTCAGTTTTCATAGTAGTCAGCATTCAAGTTTGGATTAAAAATATTCACTTTCAAAAAAGTCAAATCACTTGTAAATCAAACACTGAAAGATAGTGAATACCTCTGCAAAACACATGGAAGTTTTTTATGAGCAACTTGTTTATAATTCTGGAGGCTGAAAACAAAAATTGTATTTCATCAAGTATTAATTCAACATCCAGTCAATAGGGGATTTCAGGATGAGAGCTGAAACACCATACGGCAAAGGCTGGGAAAGGCAGGTGTTTGCATCAGAATATACAATTGTTTTAAGTACTATAAAAAAAGAAAGCATACTGATGCCTATATCACATTCTTAGGCAATACTGACCTGTGCCTGTAGTAACTTTAGCTGCCGATCCTGCTCCAGAAGGATTTTGTAGGCATCAGCAGGTAACAGTCCCACAGCACTGTCCTCAGCAGGGTAGGAGGGCAGCAGAGCCACACAGCTTTGCTGTCGTAGGCAGCACTGTCCTTTACATGGACTGGCTGTCTGAGTAGATGGCAACACAGGAACACTGGCATCCCGTACTGGAGAACACTTTCCATGCGACAGGTGGTCAGTGGGACTGCTCGTCACACAGATGAGCCCGCAATGGCCACAGGATTGGCAGCCATTGCCTTGTGGGAAGGAAGAGATACCACAGTCGCGAGGGGACACATCAGAGGGGCAGGAGGTGCCCGGACTACCAGGTGCAGCACTGGACATGCCCTGCCAGGCATTTGAGTGACAACAGGTTATGTGACCATGCGGATGATGACAACTGCAGGTGCTAGCAGTGTTTGGACCAGAAAATGGGAAGCTGGCTGAGCGGAGTGGGGTTTGGCTGGGGAAGTTAGTACTGTGCGTCCCACCACGGTAGCTAAGGGTACAGGAGGGAGAGGGTGGTCTTTGGGGACCGGGCTGTCCCACTCTGCCTACAGGTGAAGGGCCCTTCATGATGGAAACTGGAGAGCGTGCCTTGGGCTGGTGAACAGAAGTGTTAGGCGATGGTCCACTCTTGGGAGTAGAGGCTGAGGAAGATGAGGATGCAGAAGACAATGATGAAGCTGAAGATTTTGAGCTCTTTCGAGTTGGGGGGCTGTCTTTCCAGGCCACAGATGGGTTTTGTGCAGGGCTCAATCGCCCTTTGCAACCCTTGGACGGGAGAATCATGGGGGTGACCAGCCTACTGACAGGAGCAGGACTTGTGTTGGATCCCTGACTGGACAGTTTTGCAGCAGGGTGAACACTCTGGAGTGGTGGAAGTGCACCACCTTTCACCAGATGGTGGAGATCTGAATTTGGAGTTTTAGCTGTAGAAGCCTCTGGCATAACCTTCTTAGCGTCAGTAAAATTACCATCTAATACAAGGGAGAGCTCCGGCACTGATGGGTGAATCCGATGCAGCTGTCAAAAACATTCTGAATTAATTCCAGATCACAATGAACTTAACCATTCAACAGAATACAGTTTGATGCAGCAAACTAAATTTGAATAACAAGGCTTATGAACAGTAAAAAGGGAAGTACTCTTCTTCAGCTAATTTTTATAAATACTTTTCCCCCAACATTACTGCAGTGCTACTCTGCAGAGTGATGTACTCTACCAGTAACTACATATCATCTAAAAAGAACATTCATAAACATCAGTTTTAAGTATTTAGTTAAATGATAAACATTCATCCATCTTTGGTTTGATTTTGAACTGGCTTCTAAAATGCTTAAAGAAAAATGTTAAAAATGTTAAGCTAAATGGAGAGATCAACTATTCATCCCTATCAAATCTTACTTAACTATGTGATCTGAACAATATAGACCACAGGTCTAGCTGTGTTTACTAGGCAGATCAAATCAACAGAAGTACAGAGGACATCGGAGCATGTCCTGCATCTCAGAGAGGCAAGTGTTTGTCCTGGAGGTATTTTGGAAACATTCTCTCCTCACCTGCTGGCTGACAGGATGGGGGCTGGGCGAGGGTCTGGGAGACAGATCTTCATCCTCCACCCCAGAGTCATGGTCACTGGTAGAAAGCTTCATCTTCGGAGAACTTGTACTGGAGCTAACAGAGGAGCACATGGAGGCCAGGGAAGTGTTACAGTCTCAACTGAGACAATTAACTTCTCTTTATAGTTATGGTAGAATTATTGAATCCCCCTGTGACAGTGTGCTTGTTATTTTTTTCTTTCTGAATGTGAAATACTCTAATTCTTCCCCCTACCCTTCTGGTATGTTTGAGAATGAAGTACGAATGAAGTGTAAATGATACTTACCCTTTTTGTTGTTTCCCTAAAAGCACTGCAGTGTTTTCCCCATTTGGAGTATTGTATTGTTTTATGTTGATCAAAATGGCCACCAGTCACCTTTCCTGTTTGTAGTATCACACAAATGATCTTAAAGGGAAAGGTTACTGGTGAGCCATCTATAAATAACCGATGTAAGGTTAGGTGTTTTGTTTAAGCGAATATATCACGGTTGCACGACTCTGTTAAAATGTATAAAGTTTTTTTTGGATGGTTAAATACTTTATTTTGAGCAAACTGCCCATCTCTGTTAAGAAAATGGTAGCGAGCCCCTTTAAGAGGATGGTCCTTAGAAGAGGAAGGGCTATAAAAGGGACTGGGAGTGCTCAGTATGGAAGAGGGTCACTTGGAGGAAAGGTGTGGAGAGTACTCCTGTGGGTTTTTTTTGGTTATCCCTATTTTGATGGCAATAAATCCAGTTTTGGTTGCATTTGAAGACAGCTTTGTGGGAGTTTGTTTTCTTTTAAGCCAAACCTGGTCATTTGGCCGGTGACACACCCTAAATCAGGAGATAGCACTTAATATCTGCCCATCTGGTTACTGTAATAGGTCAAAAGGCTGCAAACAAGGTACAGTTCCATTCCTAAATGTTTTCACTCCACTTCAGACCTGTTGCCATTTAAAGTCATGGTTAGAGAATGCTTCTATGGAAGGTCCATCATGGTCAAACTGCAATACCGTGAACTAGCTTCACAGCCAACCCACCCTACCTGGGAAAAGAAACCTGAGATGCCACCTCCTTAAAGAATTCTCTCTCTTTGTTCTGGCTCTCAGCACTAAGCTCAAACTGTAATGGGCGTCCCTCAGATGGCTCCACATCCTTTAAAGAGAGAGAAGAAAGAAAGCATCACAAATGAAGGCCAGGGGTGTGTGCTTCTTTACATATAAAACATAAAAACACAACTACAGCCATTATTCAACATGTCAGATCCACTACAAAACGCAGCTTTTGATTTTGCATTTGTCATTACTGGCCAATATTGCATTACACATTACTGAACACAGTTAGTAAAATAAATGAAAGGCAGAACTGAAAAAGTATATTGGGGAAAAACTTTTCAACGTTTAGACAATGAAAAGTAAATGGCTAAATAAATGTTCAACCAAGTTGTTTATTAAAGACCTAGTCAATTGCAATGAACAGATTTAATACAGAGCAGCATAGCATATCATGAGGACTACCTACTACGGTACTATCTCAGGATCATCCTCAGCTCTGTGTTCAATTGCAATTGAAAAAACCTGTGAAATAAAGCAGGAGACCAGCTGATCCCATTCTGGTGTGGTACTAAGGATTAGGCATATTTGTGCTACCAAGGAAGTACTAAATGGAGCTCTCATTTAGAATATTTGAATTATTTGGACCAGTAACTAAATGTTAACATTACAATATACTCTGCAGTCTGTGTATATACACTGCAGAATGCTCCTAATAATCTAATGTTTTTTTAAAAAAAAGATGTATTTGAAAATTCTCCAGATATATAAACTAACTATATGATATTCTAATCAACTTCCACAAAAAGAGTACAGCTGCTATGGTCATGAATTTGGTTATGTAGAGTATCACGGTGGTTTTAGTTTTCAGTGATAAATGATTTAGACATACTAATGCATAAGAGAAGAACAAATTACCAATGTGTTATGAGTTGCGTCACATGAATATAGCCGTACTAAAGGAATATTAAGCTACTGGCACCTCAACTGCAATCATGGACCCCTCACTCCCATTTTTTTTTACCTTTTTCTTCGTTGTGGTGGCAATACCACGAATGTACAGAGAGTACCTCTTACTGTGCTGTTCACAAAGTTGAAAGGCTTGGTATCCCTACACACATCATACAGAGTTGTTATATAACAGTCACAAAAAAGCAAGAACCCACAATGAAAGAGCCTTTCATCTCTGAAAGAGAATTTTCAAAAAGCATTTTGGTTTGCTCTCATTTGGTCCATGTGCCAGTCCAGTAACAGCAAGCAGCATCATTGTCATGTGCAGTCCTCCACAACCTTGCTGTGGACTGGGATGAACTACTTGTTCCATCTCGAAAACATAAGCTATTTCGAATCTTATTATTGGCCAACAGGAAAGAAAAGGGACAGCATTCTGGTCATAAAAATATTTCTGAGAAGACCCCAATATGGGTGTTTTCTCTAATATTTTCTTCCATTTAACTACATAAAATATTTTTTTGCCCACCGTACCCCCATTCCTTAATTTTCCTTGTATCCTCTAAGAACCACTAGTATGGAATCACAATAAATAGAAAAGATTCAAGTGACACTCAAGAGTGAACACACTCAAGAGTAACAATAAGCTGCGAACACCAACAAACCTTTCCCATGTAATTCCAGTGTTCCATTTAGTACTATAGAATAAATAAAAAAAAAAATTAAGAAGGCAGTATCCATTGCTTCAAGTTTGTTGCAATCAGAGTTGGACACCGATTTCAGTAGTAAAGTTTGTTGCAGCTTGTATTTACCTACAGTACTACCTTAGTACAGAGATGTGTATTCACCACAGAATCATCCCTAGTTAGTACACTGCATTCAGTTAATTGCAATTAAGTAAAAAAAAAAAAAAAAAATATTGCTGCTCTGGAATCCATTCTTTATGCATCTCATTTATTTCTGAAATTAAAGGAATGACCAGAGATCCTTAAGTAAATTAGCTACCTTCTTTGGGTGCTAGAACATGGCTGGAATTCTCTCTAACTTGCAAACCTTTATCTTCTAATTGTTTTCAGTTTAAAGCCATAATATAATTCACCTGAGCAAAATGTTTTGCATTGCAGAACTCATAACCAGTTCATTATTGCATTGAGGGAGTGAGAAAACTATATTTATATAACTGTATAATATAACGGTCAACACAAACCCCTGAAGTGTAGCAAAATAACTGTAAGGAAGGAAAGGAATGCAGACAAGGAGAGAACAGAAGAGGTTTTGCCTAAAGAATAAGATTAGTTGTTAGTAAACCGAGGAGCATACCTTGTAAAGGTTGACAAACTCTGTGCTTTTGAGCAGCTGGAAGTTCAGCTCCTTCTGGCCATTGTACTGGTGGCACTGGTAGAACTCTGGGTACCGGTGAGTCGATGTATATAGAACCACCAGAAAGCCTCCCCCCTCAGACATCACTCTGTAACAGAGTAATAGTGGCCTTAATGCCTCACTGGACTGAATGGCTAAAACAATATACCTGAAACAAATATAGGGATCCCTTGCCAACTGTGGAGCTAATGTTCTTGAAAACCATGCAGCTGGTTAATATATGGCCTTTTGGAAAACAGAGATTGGAGGAACCACAGCTTTCATAGCCCCACTATTAGAAATCAATAGTGGTATTTGTATTCTACACACAACAAAAATATTTTGTACATCCCAAATACCCTGCTAACAAAATAATTCTGTAACAATACCACAGGCAATACTGTTCTAACGTTGGACTAACATTAACTTCCCCACTGAAGCATAAGGTTTCACATAATGATATCAACCACTTATTTCCTAAGGACATGACACTTCTTCACCTGTTCACCAGTTTTCAACCACAAAGCAAGTTAAAACATAAAGGCCATGTTCATGGGCAGAGTTATTGTCTTAAGAGGTGAATAAACAGCAACTGGACAACATCCAATGGGTAGGATGCACACAGACTGTTCACTCAACATGGATGCATATGAATTAAAATTACAAACAGATACACAAAACTCCATATCATGCTTGATGAAGCAATATACAGGAAGATTTAACAGTAGGTAAAGCTATAGTTAGCAAAAGATCCCTGTACTTTAAAAATTTGAATTATTTTTTGTTTCTTAAAATAATTTTAAAGGGAGAAATGCACAGCTGAGAGAAATTAAAACACAAATTGTGTTTGGCCTAATTTTCTTATCTCTAAGATGTTGTCCAGATTAAATTCCAAAAACAGTATAAGAGAATCATTGTTGTTGACCCTAAAAAAAATTAAATTTCTCATAAGAAACAAACCACACTAAAGCCAAGCAAAGAGTATATACTTTGTGTTGACATCCCTGCATTGGCTTCCAGCAAGATATGCAGAATAAAATACACATTTTAAAATCCTGTAACTTACATAAGCATAGAATGGCACTAAATAGAACAGTACCAGAACAGTTATCAGATACCTATAGATTAGGTTATCCCAGACTGTCACTCATGAGAGAAACAAGAACATAAAACTCTTCTTTACATAAAAAGCTGGGAGTATCTAAGACAAGGCTCCCTCTATGTAGTTCACATACTGTAGCTATTAAAATAGCCAACGATGAATCAGATTACCTCACTTTATTTGCAGTCTCTTACATTCTTACATTTTGCTAAACTCAGAAGCACAGCTCTGAGATCTGTTTGAGATGCAAGCCACATCATGCGTGTAGTTAGAGATACAGTGAATTTCTTGATACTGAAACATGTGACTGCTGAATGCAAATGAAAACCAATCAAGCAATTAATATGATTGCTTGAAATCAGGACGGCCTAAAGAACTTGTGATGGCATGCACCATGCTACAAGTAATGGAGGTCAGATGAAGAACGTTAATATCCAATTTAACACTTCCTACATCTTAACTGGTATTTAATAACATACAATATACAAGAAACCCTGTAAGGTATACAGTCTCAGTTATAGAGAGTAATAACATGGTTCAATGCAATGAAATTCATTAGTGATTTTGAGTTACAATCTTGAGAAGAGTGTTTTTCTCACCAGTGATTACTAACATTTTACTACAATAGCCACATTAAGCATTTTCTACATGAAATAGGAAGCACATTAATAAGGATATCTGCAGTAAGGTTAAGCATAATAAACTCAGAAATAGCACATAATTGTAGTATATTGCAGAGGTGTTAGTCCAAGTACATTTAAAGTTCTCCAAGCAGACAATTTGTCCCCCTATTTTACTATATTAATTTAAGCTATTTATGTTAAGCGTATTAGGTTATCCAGATAAATTTATTCTGATCTGTATCTGAGATTAACAAAAGATAGTAAAATGTCAGCATTCGTTCTTGTACTAATTTTGTGTTTAAGCCGGTATTATAAACAAACTTTGATAACTGTCTGCAACTGGTTCAGTTTTCATCTTGACTATTTGAAGACTTGCCAGAGAATGCAGAATGTTTTACTTTTCACAGGGGAACTAAGCCCTTAACAGAAGCCACTTTCTTGATACTGCAGTCTGCTCACCTGTCATGCAGTGAGGAACTGAAGAGGTATCTCAGGCAACACACCCAGACCTGGGGACTCTGAACGTTTGTCACTCCACTCAACCATCTACATAAAAACACATGGCACAGACTCACTTTCTCATACCAACAACTCTACCTAAAGCAATTAAAGAAAATGTAAAATTAAAGGAATTAAACCATGTAAATGGTGACTTGAACTTATCTGCAGCACAAACCAAAAAAGGTTTTGGAAGGTTTGTGAAAACGTAGACATTTAGACACCAACACTATTGTATTTTAAATGCAACAGTAAATTGTGAAAAATGTAGTAATCCTCCCTTACTTTAAAGCTTACACTTACAGCTTTCAAATATTCAGATAACCGAAAATTATTTTTAAAGCAAACCACACACTGTTTGAAGTCAAGAACAAACAAGCAAAGATCTAACCAGGAAAGACCAGAGCTGGTCCTTGGAATCAGTCCTTTTATCAAAGCTGTTAGAAAATTGTCCATTACATAATCAAAAACATAGCAACATGTAGTTCAAAACTACATTTACTATACAAAGACTGTGTAACTGGCCTTACAGCTACTCCAAGTAAAGACGTTTAGTGCAGGACTGCATTGGGGTGTGAAAAGCAAAAGAAAAAAAGCAGAGGCTAAGAAATGTTGAGAAAAGATTTTGACTCTGGAGATTCTCAGGAGTGCACACAGATAAAACATTTTTCTTCTGTTTATTTCTAACTGTGAAATTAACCTCATTACCTACAGCAAAACAAGAACTGTAGGAAATGCTATAGCTTTATTATAAGTAGAAGTAGATCACAGGCACACTTACATGCCTACCAGCGGCAAAGTGTATGCTTTGGGATCAGACTCTAGTAACAGGAGCAGTTTACGTGTTTGGTCCATGGTCAGAAACCTGCAAACAAATTCAACAAGATAAAGTGACAACTTTGTTACTTCTACTTATGGATCAGAAATATTGTGTACAACATGTGGCAGGATTTACAGTAGGGAAACATAGACCTACATGAAAGGATAAAACTCTCTTTAAAGTCAACAGCAGAACATCAGTGAAAAAACAAGTCATTAAGTAATTCAAAGAACATTATGATGAATCTCTTAAATATATTAAATTCAACAAAAGCTTTAAAAGTGGAAGTACAGAACAGATTAATCATTAACTTCACCAAACTACAATATTTTTGAAGGCTATAACAAATGGATGTTCCAAAACCTCTCTAATGCCTCACTGCCATTAGCAAAATTCAGTTCTCACAGTTTTCACGGCTCACAGATTTCAGAGCTCCCAATTAAAATCACTGTAAGTGTACTGTCCCAATTAGCTACTCCTATTTTATTTGCTCCCACAAAGTTAAATGCAGCTGTACAATAATAAACAATCAAGAACATAGGACCCAAATTTGAAATAACAAATATGGAATACCATTGACTTAATTTATGAAACTGTCCTCAGTTTCCAGCATTAAGCTGATGTTTGCACACAAGTGTTTTAGTGGGTTCATGGACATGATGCTCTCTTGTACTGGCAGCTGGCACTCCTTGTGAAGAAAAAGGCTACATTGAGAGGAACAATTATCATTATTGGCTAAGAGGTATTACAGAAATTTTCTTGAACACACACCTACCATAATATTCTGTACTACGGATTCGTACCACTCACATTTGTTTAACATTGGAGTTCTCATTAAATGTGTAGAAAGAAAAATGGCAAAAGCATCTTACCCAAATTTGCAGGTGCTCTGAACCTGAGTGAGGCCCATGGGGCTGGTGAGATTCCTGGCCAGGGCTGTAGGAATAATTGGTACAGGTCTGATGGGAGTGGCGTCCAGAGTGTTAGCAACAGTGACCGCTGCCCAGTGAAGCCTGAAACACAGACTATCCATGTTCTCTGCACAAACCAGGTGCGCTCTCATTGTCAGGAGCTTGGAGGGGTCCAGGGGTTCTCTACTGCTGCACCAATGCTGAAGCATCTGTCATACAAGAGTAAACAAAAGTAAAACTAAGTATTACAGTCTATCAGTAATAAAGGTATCGAGTTACCTTATTTTCTGAGGCCCGATACAACATAACAGAAAACCAACAGACAAGCCAGAGAACAGAACACATTCAACACAGAACAATTACATTATAGACGGTTAGAGCATTCAGGTTTTGAATAACATAAAATGTTTATGCATCATTTTATAATTTCACATGGGGAAGATTATGAATATTTTTCCTCAGGCACCGAAATACTCCAACCACTCAGGTATGTACTTGGTGGAAGCAGATCTGGCAAAAGTCTCATCTGACTTAACATTCTCTGCCGTGTATCTCACTGGATATTAAGATGAGAACCTTTTAAACTAATGCTTCTTTCTTGTTCATAAAATACAGCTTTTTGTTGGGAATGAAACAATGTATGAACACTGAATTACATCCCAGACACAGAACTATGCAGAATCACCGCTGGCTTCACAGTAACATCATTAACACCACTTTTCATTTTCCCTGGCTGTTCAATCTGGAAGGGAAATCTGATTTAGGTAGTGTCTGGGTTAAAACTTTGTTCAAAATTTGTTTCAGAAGCTCCTTGATCTTCATGGCTAATGTCATACAAGTTGTGGCTTAAAATTCAATATATAATTGAGAACACTTACAGATCCATTTACTGGAGTGAAGTTAATCCACTTCAGTTATACACAAAAAAAGAACCAATACATGTTTTCTTTCCAACTGTTCTTTTGCAGCTGAATTTATGGTTGCAATAGCAAAATGGTTGAATGCTTATTCAACTCAATCTTATTTTTATAAAAAACTAAATATACATGCTATCAGCATGTTTTTAAATTTATCACACAGAAGAGTCTTACAGAACATCCTGTGGGAAAGTGCAAACTTGGTAACAAAATGTGGAAAATTTGCAGGAGGGTGAATGTTTTGCAAGGCACTGTATAAACCAGTAAACTACAAGACAAATGAGTTAAACTAACTCAAAGTTAGAGATTAATGTCACCAGCAAACCGTGCGAAAGACGTGGCAAAACTCTCAGCAACTGTCATGCTTAAAAGCAGCTCTAGCCTTGAGGGTAATTAGCAAAGCTTTGATATTTCCCAGTTAAAAACAGAACTGTCAAAGGCAGATTTGGTTTAAGGGATGTCTTGTGGAAGAAAAACTCAGAAGTAATGTGCAACACTCCGAAATATCATTTACAAAATAAGAATAAAAGCTGTCACACTGATGCCTCCAGGATATATTTAGAAAGTATTATTAAAGTCTCAAATTACCACGGTTTTGTCATTGATATGATCTCTTTCATACTTGGAAATACAGGCTAATTTTGAACACTGGTTAATGTTATATTACCCATTTAAAAAATACCCAAGTATGGTGTTGTTGAGATTGCTAAAACAGTGTATAATAGCATATTCAAAACAGCCATATTTTAAGATAAAACAACCTACAATACAGGAGCTTTAATAATCAAAGTTTCTGAACCTCAAAAGCCCCCACTTGCATCAACCAGAATCATCACTCAGTCATCCCACCATCTGCTACTGACAGGCTGCTGTAACGGCCACAGAGGTAAGCAAACCTCCCACAGGTGTCCCTGGCATTGGGCACAAAAGACCTCACAACCAGGAGTGAAGCATCTAAGTGCAGAGGGCAGGGCTCACAGGTGTTCACTAATCCCAGGAGTAAACACTGGAGACTTTGTGCGAAGGCTCAAAGCATTTATTTGGAACTTTGTCACAAATCCCAAGCAGAAAAAAGTGAGCACTACTTCACACACTATTTTGTAGGGCCTGTCACTGCTACTTTATAACATTCAAATTGTCTCAAAGGGACATACTTAAACAGGGTAAAAAAGCTTTTTGGGGAATGATATAAAAAAAGATTTTGATTGAAGTATCCAAAGACCTGAAGGACAGGGGGTAACCATTAGCCCAATTTTAACCTCAACAATATGATAAACCTTGGAAGAAAGGAGGTGAATTTAATACTGAAACAGAATCTTGTTTGTTTTTTTAACTCATGGTGGTTCCAATAAATTAAATCATTAAAGATAAACCCAGAAATATTTCAAGTCAAAATGTAATAAGCAAGAAAGCAAGATGAGTCAAACTCAAGAGCTCCTTCACACCTGTGAGCTCTTATAGGTTTTAGTAATCACCTTGAAAGCAATGTTGAAGTCTTCAGCAGAATGCACAACGGTGTCAGGCAAGGCTGGGCCCTGGGTACTGATTGTGCAGGGCACCACGAAATCACCAGGCAACAAAGCAGTGGGCACTTTCCCAGGTGAGCCCTGCAGCTGGCGGCCAGGGTCAAACCGGTCCAGGGTGAGTGTGATCCCTTCCTCATCTGAAATAGCACACAGAACTAACAAGCTCAAATATGCAGTGTTGGAAAAATCTAAAAAACAGTATTTTAGTTTTTACATTAAAAATTATAATATCTAGGAATATTATACAACTATAAAAAGGCAAAAGGCATTCTATGCAAAGCTTTTTTTTCTGTTTCATAGTCTACTGATTAACCACAATCCTAACTGTACGTTTTCTAACTCCATGCTTCTAACTCATTTACAAAACAGATCACGATGCTGAAACAAAAGGGAGAACTCTTGAGAAAAAATTGTGGCCTCTAACTTATGGAATATATTGCTTTCCAGTGAGAAAGTCCTGTGATCCAGGAGTCTACTTGATACACAGTATAACCACATGACAAGATATTCAATTCACATGCTTTTGTGAATGTAAACTTCATTTTCATTGCAAAGCCCTCACCCACATTCCATAAGAAAACAGAAGAAACCAAATACTATCAAATACTGAGCAGAACATGCCAGATAACGTAAGGAATGTGTCTGCAGACTGACATATGCATGTCCTCAAAAATTTTGTCTCCCACTAGCTTTACACCAAGGACACCTGCCTAAAGCCCTCACCATCATCGACCATCATGGAACCCAGAAGGAAGCAGAAGAAAGATCCATCACTCTGTCTAGCATGGCGATGGGCCAGCCGAAGTGCTTTCTCCACAACCAGCAGTCTTGGATTCCTGGATCACAACGATAGAGTCAATCAACTTGGACTTGATGAAACACCACAAGCAGTGAGCAGACCTAGCCTTTAAAGAATAAATAAAACTGACCTTTGGAAGATATAACTAATCTACTCACACAGCATATTATTACACCCTAATACTGTTAAACACAGTGCCACTGTGGCTAAGGATCTGCACCTGTGACTGGAAGGTTGCCAGCGGAGGAATCTTACTCGTTGGGCCCCTGAGCAACCCTTAACCCCAGCTGCTCCAGGGGCACCGTATAAATGGCTGACCCTGTGCTCTTACCCCAAGCTTCTCTCTCCCTGGCAGTGTGCCTGTGTGTCTCATGGAGAGCAAGCTGGGGTATGCGAAAAGACAAATTCCTAATGCAAGAAATTGTATATGGCTAATAATGTGATCTAATCTAACTGTTTCTCACATAGTGTCTTGCTACAGAGAAGAGGTATCTTATAATGAGGATGCCCAGATCTTCCACAGTCCCTCCCCGAGGTCTAAAGGCATATCCATAAGCCAGGGGCATGAGCTTTTGCAGTAAGCACTTCAACACTTAACTCTGTGCATCACCAGGTCCTGGCCATTCATTTAGGGCAAGAGCAATGCTGCTGTTATTATTGGGAACAGTTAAATTAGGACAAAATAACATGATAAAAAAGATCCTGCAATACAAAGCACCTTCTGAAAAGACTAAGGACAGGACAGGTTAACAAGACAGACGCACATCAGCACAACATGTCCCAAACCCTAAAAGCATGGCAAGCTTTCCTTATACACATGCTTCTGAACAGCTCTGAGCATGCTGTTAGAAAAGCTATAGTGTTGCAAAAGAGTTCAAGGGGTGCACAGCTGATGATATGGTAAGTCACATTTACTATTTGACATATGCTCAACTACTTTTGCATTTTACACCTGACCTCAGGATGACAAGTGCAAATGGCACACCTGTAATAAGATAGGTGCAAACTGGTGACTTCTCCACACAGTGAAGGGTCCCAGAGAGCAGTTCTGGTTTTGGGAAAGCTGAATGGGTTCAGCATGTTCTCTGATGGCCTGGAAAGAGGAGAGAGGAAACAGTGTCAAAAGTGCCATTTATATTTTCCAACCACCACATCACACAAAGGCTTTCTAGGCACCATGGACTCAAAGGGGCAGTTGGCTTTTCAATAATGTTTTCTCCATTGCAAATCCTTCTAATAAATTAGTAGGATTTGAAAATAGGCTACATCTGAATAGAAATAACAAGCAGATCTTAAAGAAACGAAGTGCTGCAGACTGCCAGCCTTCTTTCATTTGTAACATTTACAGACAGCTAATGTGATTTTTTCATATCTCAGAAGAAAGTTCAATGATTATCCAACCAAACCTAGAATGACAAAATTACCTGGGAATCCTCTGCTGTTGTATTTTAGAGTATGCACCTTCCACAAAATGAAGAGGGGCATTCCTGAGATTCACCGGCACACTCATTGTCTGAAACTGAGCACAAGAGGAGTTTAGGGAGTGGTCTGCCACAGTCCAGTTTATTCACCTGGATCCACCTGAGAACTTGCCCACAGATCACCATTAAAACTGGCAATCCTCCTCTCATCCACGTTACTAGCGGTATTACTGATCATGGATGCTCATCGTATTGCATTTTCACAACCTGACAGTGTATTTGCTTCTCTATTTCTCTCCACATTTTGTACAGTTCACAGGAAAAAAATCTTAACACTTTTACTTTAGCCATTGACAAGTACCAAAATATTTCCAAAAAGTCATAATAATGAATATAAAACAGTTTGTACCAAGTAACAATAAGAAATGATATATACAATAGTAGGATTAGCTATCCTTGGAAAGTGAGAAGAGCTGCGGACAACCAAGTACTACAATAAAGATTTTTTATTTTTAACTTTCATTTGCGTGATTTGTCAATATATAATTAATTAAAAACTTACTAATCACACACATTGGTCTTAACCGGCAAGTTAAATGGCAAGTCCTGTTCTGGATAACCGGTGTCTGCAGGTTTTAATCGTCTCTTTAAAGCAGTAAAACGAAGTGATCAATGACTATGTTATACTGGTGCCATTAAGCTAGGATTCAATTGGTTTATATCGTTATTAGCCGAGGTGAAACGAGAAACTGCAGATAAACTCGCCCTCCAGGACCAGGATGGGACACCCCTGCCTGTAGCAATCCCACATTCGCAAGACCCTCCAGTCGAAAGACTAACCACTTTAAATCCAGACTTTGAAACTGTTGTGACTGACCGACTAGTCTTAGCCGTGAAAGCAGATGCCGTGCTGTTATGTTGTTCGTTCTGGTGCTTCGGGTATTTAGTAGCCGCAGTATTAATCTACAACAGTGTCTTCAATTAATGTTTACATCGGTTACAATACAGAAGATATTTCAGCCAGAAAATGAGTCAGTGTCACAGGCAACGTGCTTGCTTGTTAAATACGTGAACTTTAACACACTTACACGTTTACTTCATGAAAAATCTAAGCAAAACAGACGCCCACGGACTAACCATTTTCCATCGCTGACAAAAACTGCAGAGAAGTGAGACAGGTCTGAAAGCTCTTACCTGCTGCTTTTAAATTTTATGCATACCGCAGTCACCCCGGGTACTGTGCCTCCCAGCTGAAATTCGCCCCTCAACGAAATAAACGTTGCTGTCTCTCTGTGGCAAACAAAACAGTTTACCTGAGACTAAGTCACGGTTTTACTTTTCCCACCACTCATCCGTAAAAAGCGGTACTTGACGCGGCACCCTTTCGTTGTTTGTATTGTTTATTTCTCCTCTCGTATGGGACACTCCCCAGGTCAAAACGCATAGATCCCGGAGGATTCTGGGTAAAAAAAGTTAAATGTAAATTGTTGGCGCTGTTTCCAAGCTGCGGCGGCGCGAGATTCAGCCAATCAAAACTGTCGCTTTAGCCCGCCCTGCCCACCCGGTTTTTTCGAATGAGGTGGGTCCAACCGTCAAGCCTGATACTAGGAGTGCATGCGCAGTGGTAGGGCCGTGCAATTACTTTTATATTGACAGGTATGACGCCAAGAAACTGTTAGAGATTTAAAATAAGGGTTATACTGAAATAACACGAATATGGTTATGTGCATGTCGAGATTGTGAAATTTGTTCATCTTGGGTAGTTCAAAGATTGACTTATCTTTGAACTTATCTTTGTTGTAAGCAAAATAAACTATTTAGTTGTGCATATCTACTGACAGTGTCAAGGTGCAAAATGAAATGGGCTTACAAACCCAAATCCATCCGTTTTTTAACTGCTTTATCCAGTACAGAGTTAAGAGGCAACTGGATTCTACCCCATGAAGCAATGAGCACAAGGCAGTATATGCACATTTGGAGGAAACGCTCTTAAACACAAGAAGAACTTACAAACTCAGTGCAGTTCAGTCTTGAATTAAACTCAAGGCCCAATCGCTGAAAGGCCATCATGCTAACCACTGCACCCCCCTGTGTCCCTGGTTATATTAAGTGTAAAGTCTTCTCTAGAGGGCTGTTTAACAGGGTATTTACCATTATCCCTGACACACAGTATACAGAGCTTTTATGAAGGGCTGCAGGCAGCTCTGGTCTTCTGCATCAGTATGACCTTGCAAGCAATTTATTATTTTTTCTCACATGAGGGCATTTCATATTATTTCAAAACCTTTAATGGCTGATGATGGTTGTATTTTGCATAATCACATAATTCGACTAAATGAGGTGCAGGAAACTCTGGCTTTGGGTACAACACTGCCAGGCATGACACCCCTATAAGAACATAAGTAAAGAGGTCATAGCCATTGGTCACAACTTACTTGTTTGGCTGCTTACAAATGTATTTAAAAATCTCATCCAGTGGTATTTTAAAAGATTCAGGCATCTGCTTTAACATCACAGCTGGGCAAAGTGTTTCAGACAGCCACAGCTCTTTGTGTAAAGAAGTCTTATGTTGCTTAGACAGCAAATATGGACAGCAATATTCCAGTCTTCACATAGATTCTAGATAAAGTTCAAGACAGAACTTTGAGTACTTCAGCTTTCTGTTCTGCAGTCAAATGAACAACATGGAAGCACAGCACAGCCTTTTCACTTTTCTTTTCATTTTCAAAGGGCAATCTCTAAAATATTTCAAGTCCCATTTAAATGTAAGTGATCAGAATATAGTATACAGACATATATGCTGTATAATAATAAGTGAATATGAATATTTTTAAATTCTATAGAGAACATTGGTAGTAAAACCAGAAAATAAAAGCCAAAGTATCAAAATTCTTTCATTTTTATTTTAGAAGTACTGAGTGAATATTTCTTTCTTCTAAAATTTCAGGTCTTTCCACAGCCTAGGTGCTAAATTGTATAAGATCTGATCTCATAAAGAATGTAAGAAGATTTTGTAAGAAGATCACACATGCAATTAGATTCTAATTCATGTATAGCCTTTAACATTAGTAGTAAGATTTAACATTTCATGCCAGACTCCACTGGGTCCCAGGGATGCCCACACTGGAGTGATGAGACCAGAAGATTTCTGATCAATAATTCGTGCACATTCAATCTGTGCACACACTTCAGCTTGTTAAGGACAGAATTTAGTACTTCAGTATATCAGGAGAAAAAACAAAAAGGCAAAAAGATTAATAAGACACTCTGCACAATAGAGCATAAGAAATAATTAAGAAAAGGTAATGCTACAAATGTTCTTCAAAACACAGTTCTGGGCTGAAAGTAATAACAAGGCTTTTTACAGGGTTACATGGTTGAATCTCAACTCTCATCAATGATCTCCTTCAGATTTCACATATATGAAGATGATATTAAGAACCAGCTGTAACTACCTCAATTTTTACCAGGGTATGACTGACTGGCACACCCACTCCTTGACCAGAGTGTTAATCTGGACACCACTGAATCATTATCACATGTAATGCATATTGTAGCTGTATAAAATATCTAGAACAGAAAAGCACATGTGAATGATAACAGGCAGTCATTTATCAAGAAATACTGGAACATATAGTAATTGAATGGAAGTAACATTCTCTAGGACCATTTGTAAGAGGCTGAAAATGTTGGTGACCGGTATGAGAACACATTTACATGTGGAAGTAAAGATTAAGACTTCCATGCATGCCACAGCATAGCATACAGCTGGAGCTGAAGCCCATCTAAAGAAAGCATAAGAATGGAAGAGAAAGAGTAGAGAAGAGGTGATAAGGCAGAGAAAACCAGTAACATCAGTTTGGCTAGTAAAAGAAAAGACGCCTGAGTCTTAGTAAGAAGCTTAGGTTATAGATGGCATCTGCTCAGGAGTGGGTTGACTGAGTAGGGACACAGTTCTAGCACCATTGGGTTAGATGCTCACTATTACAGCTGACTAAGATGTAGAGAGGTAGGTAGTAGTTGCTGTCATGTCGGACCATCGGCAAGTTAATGAAGGCAGTGGAGCTGTGCCACCCAAACAGGAACAACTGAGTGAGGGTTTACCCTGCTATGTAATATTTTATCTCTCATACCTAGAAAGGGGTTAGGTGACATTATTAAGGTATAAATTCTAGAGGGGATTTATCACACCCTGAAAGGGGATAAGTACCCTGGTCAGGTGTTCAGTTACTGAATTTATTGGTGAGTTACAACTCCCAGAGGGGTTTTGGGATTTGTCAGTGGGATTTAATAGGGCTTGGTATGGAAAGGTTACAGATTCCAGCGGGAATTTGTTTATATGCTCAAGTGAACAAATGTAAAGGATTTTGGATATAAGGGTTGACAGACTGTATAAAGAATCCAGGATGGCAGATTAGAGAAGCTGGGTGTCTCTGAAAGAAGGCAGAACTAGATGGGGCTTGAGCTTAATGGGTTGTTCTCCTCAAGCATGGCTCCATGTTGGGATCCCTGGCCAAGCCAAGAGTAAAAGAAAAGCAGATCTTGATTAGGTTATTGTCATAGTGCTACAGTAGGTATAAGGAATACTTAATGCCAAAACAGAGGCAGGAAGACAAAAGGAGAGTTCCATGTAGGAACTAGAGACCAGCAGACTTCTCTCTAATTCCTACAAGGGGTGGTTAGGTGTCACAGGGTTCCTACACCCCAGAAGGCATGGGGACAAGAGTTAGATTGTACAGTATGTAGACTGAGGAAGGGAGTAGATACCTCAGTCCTAGTTCTATTGTAAGTGGGGAGTGGCTGTCTATGTTCTGATGCTTCGGGTCTGCCAGTGAAGGGTTAGGGATGCAGTAGTGGCGAAGCTCTTTGAGACTGAGTTGGTTGGAGGGAGAACACGTCAAGATTTGGTTATTGATGATCGCATTTGTATCATCTGTCCATGATATCTGTGTAAGAAACACAACCAAGTTATTGTTAACTTACTTTATATTGTGTGCTTACCCAAACATCTCTTAACTGTCTTTCGGTCATTGCTTCCCACACTTTCTGACAGGTCACATGGTACAGGTGATGGTCACATCATCCAGGTGGGGCTGCACATTGGTGGAGGGGAGTCCCCATTACCTGTAAAGCATTTTGAGTGGAGTGTCCAGAAAAGCACTATATAAGTGTAAGCAATTATTATTATTATTACAGTACAAACACAGAGTGCTACTACACTTGACAATATAACACAATAGCCCTGGTTCCCCAGCAGGGGGCTGTGGAATATCCAGCAGGGACAGCAGAACCATGAGCGTAACCTTGGAGGAGGTTAGGAAAACTAAGACCAAAACACAATATGGTATGGAAAGTACATGAGCTTGGAGAAGTTTGCAGAGGAGTGGTGTAATTTGACATATAGGTCACTGAGCCTGGGAAACCAAGAGTAAAGAGCCCAGAAACCTTTAGAAAGGTTATCACTCAGGTGGAGTAAGATGAATAAATAAGAGGGCTAACCTGATAGGACACCAGTCAGTTCAGTTTATTAGTTATATGCATAAATGCAATGAATAGCCTTTAGATCCAAATGCCCTGGAGCAGGGGTTGGAGACTTTAGGATATAGTCTTGTGTATAGCTGCATGGAGACAAGATTGTAAAGAGTAAACCTGACAGTCTCAAAATTAGTATTGGTCAGTAACAAGCCTCCAGGCAGACAGAAACAATGGGTTATAACTCAGAAGCAAGCAGCTGTTCTGTTATATATGTATGTACAATTTATAAATAAGAGCACCACAGATAACGTTGTCTGAGCAGCTTGTTCCCTTTGTGTAAAGTAGACCATCCTGTCCTGACTGAAGCATCTCACCCCCCAGTTGTTTCTTGAAAGAAGCCAGGGTATCAGCTTCAACAACATGGCTGGGCAGCTTGTTCCACACTCCCACAACCCAAGTGAGTTCAACCTAACCGATCTAGTCTGTGACATTTGTAATATCACATTCTTACAGATAGAAAACAAAATATACAGAAACAAGTTTTATTTGTTTTTTAAAAGAATCACACCTCTCACATACTGTAAGGTTATAAAGCTTGTTGTTCAGGCTGTTTATAGACATGATTGTTTTATCTTCCAGATAAGAAGATCTACCAGGTGCCAAGGGGATGGTCTATTGTGTTAATATTCCAGAACAAAACACAAACCAACAGAAACAAATTAAACCTTGTAATGGTAAAGTTAAGTAACAAATAGGGAAAAATCAGAAAAATAAAAACAGCTGGTGTGATGAAAAAAGAGAGTGCCTTTATTTGAGAAAATAACTGTGACTTTAGAGTGTAGTGTAGCAAGACTGTCTAAGGGACTGGGACTGGAGCCTCTATTGTAACAGGACTGTTCTATTGCACTTATTGCAACAACTTATTTCATTAGGTCTTATTAACAGCATGTAAACAATTGACCAAATGTTCTTTGAACTCCCCATTTAACCTATGCCCTGTTTAGTAGCTCAAACCGAACCTGAAGGAGACAGTGTTGTGCACAACAGTTTGTACCTCTGAAGGAAAGGTGGGTAATCATCCAAAGACCTAGGGCTCTGCTCATCTTCCACATTCACCATGATAATACTGATTATCATTTTGGATGCCGGATCTTTTAGTGTGTATCTTCCCTGATTAGCTGGTGTCACAGAGTACAGGATGAGGACGCCATCATGCACAAAGATATACTCTTTACTGGAGAGATCTGCGGGCTGGACTCTGCCAACTTTGAAATTTGCCTGGCAAACTAAGGGCCTGTGCTCTGTGGGAGAGCAAGACTGCCATTAATCTGCAGCTGCAGTGGTTGATAAGTGTACACAGGGAGGAAGGAATCTTCCAGACTTCACTGTGGGTTCCATAAGGTTCGCAGAGCAAAAATCAAACTTGTCTTTAAAAATGAGGATTTCCTCTGAAAGAGGGACATTTTGAAAAAGAAAAACAAATTTAATTTGATTATAAATATGGAAATATGGGCTTGTGCCTACAGCTGTTTAATCACTGGTATCAGATGTAGACCTTTATCATTGCTTCCATAATAAAACATATTTCAAATTATAAAAGTGTTTCTATACTCTCTGTAAACCCTCCAATTCAGTATGTAGTATGTCACCTGCTAAGATGTATAGCGGTAATGCTTATTAATAACGCTTATTAATAATACAGGAATTAAGTCTGCTGTCCTCCTGCCAGTCTCTTTCTCCCTGAACTCTGTGGTGCTGGACACAGAGAGGCCATTCTATGTGGTTCAGGTTTACGGTGTTTTTCTGTTTGATCGATTTTCCTAATAAGGAACAACTCCCAGGGCTGAGATTCTCCAGCCACCATAACGAATGGTCATCACTGGGGCCTTTCTGTCTGGGAGTTTCCAAGGGAGAGTCTCATCCCAAAGTGTTTACCACCGTAAGGTCAGAGAGCGTTGTTACTCATCCTCTACCTTGATCAGGCAATCAGGAACTGGTAGGGCAGGGTAACCCCAAGTGGGTCTCGAATGCCCGTGAAACTTTCAACCAATGAATGACTGTAGTTTCTCCAGATAAAAGAGGCAGCACAGGGCCCAAAGGGGCGCCCCTCCAGGATGTTCTCAGACTCAGTTCGGACAATCACGTGACGGCCAGTGTGTTCGAGTGCCAGGACTTTACTTTGTAAAGTAAAAAAACCCGGAGGTTCCCCGCGCATAAACAAAGGATCTGCCCGAGGTTAGCCCAGCAGCAGGCCTAGTGAATCGCTGGTAACTCACCGTGAATACTCGCCTAATCAACTAGTGAACTATGATCGGAACTGTCGACAGCTGAATCTTTGTATCCAGGACAAGCGCTACAACTAACAAACTGGTCTTCTTCCCATCTAAAGAGTGTGACCTGCTCAGACCTGGAGTCACTTTCATATGCACAAAGTCTTCTAGCTTAGCCAGGACTAACTAGCCAGGTCTTCAGGGAGTCACTGCCCACACCTCCTGCTGCACCAGGACTGCCTGGCACCGAGCCAGGGGATGTTGATTAGACGCAGCAATGGCCTGTCGCTGTTCCTTTCTGTCTACAGAAGATCAGAATCCACATAAATTGGATGAGTATTCAACATTCTACATTGCAGCTCAAGAATTCAATTGTTACCTCAATCCCAGTTGATGTCAATTTAATTCCTATGTGTTTTGAGTATCTAGTGTAGAAGTTAACAAAGCGGTATGTATGAATGGTATTTGTAACTCTTCGTGATTGAATATATAACTTTTGTATTCTGCTAACCCTCACTATAAGATCTGTTATGTTTATTTGCACATTTTGTGTATTAATTAATGTATTCTCGTGAATTAGTATCCGTGTGTGTGTTGCTGGGTTGTTCCGCAAGGTCGATTTTCTAATAGTCATCGAAGAATAATTTTGTGACTTACTGCTACAATTAATAATTGTTCCAGTAAATGCACAAAACCCCTACAGTTATATGTAATTTCTTATCTCAGGTAAACTTTCTTTTTTCCCCCATAATCATTGTATTTTACTGTTGTAGTAAAAGTGGCAAAATAACAAGTAGTTGTTACAGTGAGATGATGTTTCATGTCTTTGTCTTTACCGAAAAAGGTGGTGTAGTAAAGCGTCAGAGAGATCCCATTTTACCCATTACAGGGCAGACTGACAGAGTGTCAAAATGGCACTAACACTGTGATAGCTTCTGAAGAGACTGAGTCACAGCAACACAAATAGTCCCTTATAAAAATAATGGAGACAGGTCCACTAACAAATAAATTAAAAATATTTGTTTTATTGATTTAAAATAGGATTTGACTCAAAATGGCACAAAGGACTATTTTACAACCGTCTTCTAAGAGGTACTGTATATAGAGTAAAGTCTGTGATGTAATAAATCTAGGTACTTGGAGAACAAGCACACAGTGAACATTTTTACCAAAAGAAGAGAGTTCCCTCACAGCTGTGGTCTGCTCAATGATGCTGACTTGGACCTGCTCTTGCTAACAGAACAGGGGCTACAGGAGAACATGACACTGCTAAACTAATACTGTCAGACCTGGCAAAATGGCAAAAACTTGAGTTATGTTTTTAATAATAATAATTGCTTACACTTATATAGTGCTTTTCTGGAGACTCCACTCAAAGCGCTTTATAGGTAATGGGGACTCCCCTCCACCACCACCACCAATGTGCAGCATCCACCTGGATGATGCAACGGCAGCCATAGTGCCCCAGAACGCTCACCACACATCAGCTATCAGTGGGGAGGAGAGCAGAGTAAGGAAGCCAATTCATAGATGGGGATTATTAGGAGGCCATGATTGGTAAGGGCCCATGGGAAATTTGGCCAGGACACCAGGGTAACATCCCTACTCTTTTCGAGAAATGCCCTGGGATTTTTTTATGTCCACAGAGAGTCAGGACCTCGGTTTTACATCTCATCCGAAGGACGGCGCCTGTTTACAGTATAGTGTCCCCGTCAGTATAATGGGGCATTAGGACTCACATGGACCACAGGATGAGCACCCCCTGCTGGCCCCACTAACACCTCTTCCAGCAGCAGCAACCTTACTTTTTCCAAAAGAAAGGCAGATCTCAAGGATCTGCTACTCAAGGATCTGTCAGTTGTCACTTCACACTGAACAACAAAATACTAGAACACATAACCAGCTACTGTATATGTACCTTCGTTTGATAATCAGTTAATCAGAGAATTTTGACCTGGCAGTGAGGGTACTGAATGAGAAGGTATGCAAGGTTTTCAACACAGTAGAAGGGGCTTTACAATATCATCACACCCATAAAATTCTGTTTGTGCATATATGACAATGTAATCCAACCTATTTATCTACACGGCAGTGACGTGTGGGGTTCAATCACAGACCACGCTTACACTTAATATAAAAAACAACAAACAATGTGTGCAGAGCTAAATTAGGCCAATACCCACTAGTTATAAATATAGAGAGAGCAATAAAAGTTTGGTTACACTTAAAAATCAGTGACCAGAACTCTGCCACCACAAGGCTCTGTTAAGTAAAGAGCCTCCCAAACACGAACAAACCTCAGGACAGCAAAACTTAAACAGCACAAATCAAAGTCAACAAACTCACAGCACAAGCCAAACAACCCTACCTTACCCACTGGGAAACACAAACGGGAATGCTATGGAACCCTAAAAAGACAATACATCCTAGCTCAGTATGTTACTGGTGGAAGAGACAGCAAAGAGAAACATACCCTGAGAAAGTATAGACTCAGTCACCATTGTCTGGCCAAATGGTGACACAGGCAGACTAGGCTGTGTTCACACTGCCAGAAAGGAGAAACAGATACAGCGATATATGTTCTGCTTCATTGTGAGAAATACTTGGGGATTAGACAAAAATTCTTCTCTAAACTAAAAAATCTAATCCAAGAACTCCTATAACTGCCAAAATCAGAACAGCTGCCAATGCCACAAGGAGAAGAGAGCGGAAACTGGGCCAGCAGCCCAGTTATACGATCACTTGTCACAGCTCAATGAACAGTCAGCCTGTCTCACAATAACATCTTATATGCTGAATGTAAATGTGCAATAGTATGTTTTTACTGTAATTGTTGTTAATTGCATCTTTTTTGGCAACACTGTAATTCATTGGTCATACCCATTAAGCTTTTTAAATCTGAATACCTTCAGTGTAGCTTCTATGGCCTTTTTTGTTAACAATAGCACTAGTTTGTTTTTTAAAATCTCTTCACATTTGCCTATTCCTGATCATTTTTCTTTTTCATCCTTTCCATTTTCAACAGGATTGCCGCCTCATTGTAAACATAACATTATATTTAGTTAATTCTGACTTGATTTTCATATTCAAATTCACCGACTAGCCCTTGTTTAGTTTAACTGACCTCTAATTGGTTTTTTTCTCTAGTTGGGAAAATACTGGATTTTATATTCCTTTGTTAAACAAAAAACTTTATATCTCTGTATCTCTTTAATTATAAAATACAACACTTTGTAATTAAGCGAGAATTTCTGATATCTGGATAATTGTATTTTATTTCACAGATTTGCCTGGCAAACAAAAAGCCAGAAGAGATTATTGGAACTGGAAGGTATGCAGTTTGCAAACCTGATGGACAATATTCTGCTGTGCTTAATCAATGTCAGGGTCAGCTCTTGCAGTGGGGAGTAATATTGTAGCGTTCTCGCCTGGCGTT